TGCTACCACATGCTAAAGACTAAATACCTCAAGGATGGATATTTCAGCAGGACAATGACCCAAAACACACTTCAACCCTTGTGAAAGACTTTTTCAAAATCAAAACAATTCGATTAATGGAATGGCCTTCGCAAAGTCCTGACCTTAATCTTATTGAACATCTATGGGAACACCTCGAACATTTTTAATTTAAAAAAAGTTTAAAAAAAAACAACTTCAAGTATTTTTTTCTGCCCGGATACTTTTGCATGCGCATATTTCAATAAAATGAACTTTAAAAATTATATTGCTTAGATTTAGTAAAAATTCATTTGTTTTTAGAATTGTTATCAATTTTTTGACATTCCAGTGAAAATTTGAAATTGGACTTTTTAAAAGTTATCTCAAGTTATACGCTTGTCTGGTTAATTTTGCATGGTACTGTGTGTATATATATATATATATATATATAATATATATATATATATATATATATATATATACACATATATAATCAATTGCTCACACTCACTAAGTATTTATGCAGTATGAGTTAAAACTAATGCATAATTAACATTATATTTAATTTAGCATACACAATAAAATACTAAACAATATATTTATATAAATAGCAAATACATTTATTATTAAATAAAAAAGAAAATTTTAAAGAAACTTAACCTTGCTCTCAAAAAAAAAATTAAAATGAAATTTTCAATCAATAAATATAAAACATATTTAAATTTGTTTATTTTTTTAAAGTTGGTATTTTATTACATCTCAGTAATGCAAAAATATAGTTTAAATATATGACCAAATAATATATCACAAAAATAAAAAAACAATAAATAAAAACAAAAAACAGACTATGAAATTACAGAAAAATTTTCATGAACTGATTTTCAACTCATGGAATTAGGATTCTATTAAAATAAATAAGTTTTACTACTCATATATTTATTACAAAACACAACAATTTTAAAAACAAGTTTAATTTTTAGAAACAAAATTTAAATACTAAAAGATTCTTTATCTCTGGAATATCATAAAACACTTATATATCTCTGGAATATCATAAAAAACTAAAAATGATTTAAGGACTCAACAATGCACTTTGTATAAAATCTTTTAGCTAGTTTTTATAATTTTGTTATAACAACTACCTTAGTTACAGATAGTTACTTTTGTTACAGGTAGTTATTTTATAACTAAGATTACCAAGCAACAAAGGTTTTTGTCAGTTTATGACTTTTCTTAATGCAAAAATGTTTTCAATTAAAAAATCTTAAACCTTCACTGTTTTAAAAAAACTTTAAAAAAAGATTATAATTGATTAATTTGTAAGTAATGATTGCCAAACCTAAATCATTTTTTTTTATAAAAGTATTAAGAATCTATGAGAACCATGTTGAAAAACGTTTAGACAAAAACTGACTTTAGCATTTCTTCTTTTGCACGTCTTATGTGAGTCAACTATAAGAAAAAAGTTTGAAATATTTATTGAAGACTTTTATAAACTTTGAAACTATGTAAAGAAAAAATTATAAAAAAAAACAACCTTTCTTTTATCAAGAAATTTTTCAAGAAAACTTTCCAGATTCAAAGATCCTAAAAAAAAAAGAAAAAGAAGACATGTTGTTTTATGACTTCAAAACTTGAAAAAAGCTTTTTTCCAAAATAAAATAAATCAACTTAATGAGTTTAGATGTATGAGAGTAGATTAAGTAGCTGGATTTTTCTTCTGAACAAGGTAATCAATCTTATTTAAACATTAACCTATATTTTTTTAAACAGTTATATTTTAGTGTTCAAATTTAAACTGTTTTTACAGATAGATACTTCAGCCATCTTTGTTTATTTTTAAATGGTATATTTTAGGGACCAGATTTATTTTGTTTATTTATTATTTACTTTTATATTTATATACAGTGTGCCAAAAAAAAAAAAAAAAAAATAAATGCAGCAAACAATTTCTCTTCAAATTTTTAAGTTTCGGATCACTTTCATTGTAATATAAAAAAACATAATGGAATAAAACTGAGTGAAATAAAAATCCTGCTATGTTTAGGAAACAAATGAGTGGTGTGGGCAGTTTTAATTGATGTTGAACATTTTAAAGTTAGAAGCTGTCGTATATAATTTCAAAAAAAAATAATTGCAGCGTAATATAAAAACGTAAGTTTATTAATTTTTTTTTAAGTTTCGTGATCTCTTACACTGTCACTTATTTAAAAATAGATAAAAAATACAAAATTAAATAAAAGTTACTCATTTTTTCTAATTTTTAATCATTTTATAGAAAGATGGCAAACGGAGATCGACACTAGACTGTAATCCAATGTAATTTAGCTGCTGACCTAGTAAAACAGGGTAAGGCATATCGTGAGGTTGAGGCAGAGACTGGCATTCCCAACTGCATTGTTTCCAGAATAATAGAGGATGCAAAAAGAATGGAACTACAGATTCTTTGGAAGAACTAGGTAGAAAAAGAAAGACAAATAATTCCATTGACCGAGTATCAGAATACAAGTCAAAAAAGATTGCTTCCAGTCTGCCAGAAATTTAGCTAAAAAGGTGGAAAATGAGCATGGCATTAAGATCACTCCTCAAACAATACGTAACAGGATTAAGGAAGCTGGTTTCCAAGGAAGACATGTTTGTAAAAAGCCATATTTGGTGAAGAATTATATGAAACGCTGATTGGATTTTGCTCAAAAGTACAGAAACATGGATATTAATTTCTGGAAAAAGATTTTATGGAGTGATTCAATTCAATCTGAAGTCATCTGATGAAGTTAAAAAAGGTGTAAGAAAAGAGAAGAGTATAAATTGAGCTGTATGCAAGGCACAGTAAAGTTTGGCGGTGGTAATTTATGATTTGGAAAGAAGTTAGAAAACTAGCATTTATTGACTCAAAAATGGATGCTCCATTATACAGAGAGATTCTCAAAAACAAACTCAAGTCTTAAAAATCGAAAATTGCAACTAGGCAATAGTTACAATTATTTTCCAGCAAGACAACAACCCCAAAAACACCGCTAAAAATACGACAAAATGGTTCACTAAAAATAATGTGAAAGTCCATGAATGGCCTTCACAAAGCCCGGACTTAAACCTCATCGAACATTTGTGGGTTATTCTAGACAGAAAAATCGGAGATCGGTCACTCAGAAAGAAAAAGGAGCTTAAAGAGGCTGTGAAAGTGGCATGGGCGAAAATTATACCAGAAGAAACAAAAAGCGTTACAAACAAAGAACAATTAAAAAACAAAGTATTACATACAAAGAACAAATTTAATGAAAAAAGAATAAGAGGTTTAAATTTTAAAAAAATAAGCTCTATAAACAAGATCAATTTCAGATGGTATCCATTCAAGATCAATTTCAGATGGTATCCATTTAAGATCAATGTCAGATGGTATCCATTCAAGATCAATTTCAGATGGTATCCATTCAAGATCAATTTCAGATGGTATCCATTCAAGATCAATGTCAGATGGTATTAGTTTTTAAAAGGGAAAGATCATTTGTTTTCAGAAAGTATCAATATTAGTTACTGCAAAAAAAAAAGGGTTTTACAGATCCTCACTTAATAATTTATTAAAAGCACTTACCAATGAAAAGCTTTGCTGCATTTTTTTATAAAAAGTATGATTTATTAATTTATAACTTTTAAGAGCTTAGCCATACCATCTTTTTTTAAGTTTAAAAAATGTATAATAAAAAAAAAAAAAGGAAAAAAATTAGTAAAAAAAAATCTCAAGGTTAATGTTATTACAGGTTGTTAAAAAAAATTAAAATGTTTTTTTTTTTGTTTTTTATAAATACTGGTTGTTACAAATGTATAAAATTTGAATTTTTTTTTTTATTCTTTGAATTGTGAAATGACTTTTTAATTTATTTAAAATTTTTGCTTTCAATATTTTTTGTGAGTTAGCAACCACCTCTCACAAAACTGGTTTCCACAGAAAGTGACCACAACTATACTCAGCGTAGTTAAGGAGAGATCTGAAGAAAAATATTGCGTATAGGCTCTTTTATTTTTAAAAAATACTAACTTCTTTTTTGCATGCTCTGATTAGTTTATTTTTTTAAAAAGTCATGAAACTCATTGTTTTATTTTGTTTATAAATATTCAGTGATTTTAATTTCAATGAGTTTCAAGTTTTAGTTAATCACCAGGTTTGGCTAGGAAAGCAGGCGATTTCACACTATAATATGACCATAAAATAACTATTTGATTTTGAAAACTTGACCATCCCTATTAGGATGTTTTGAAAATTTGTATACATTTTAAAAATGTGCTAAAATATTATTTTAACTAATGAAATTTGAAAAAAAATAAAAAAAGTACACACATTTAAAAATTAAAAAAAAGATTCATAACAATTCTTTGCAGTAACCAATAGCAACCTAAACAATAGAAAATAGAATTGATATGTTTCTATAAAAAGTTGATATAATCAAATTGGTTTCAAAAAAGATTTTTTCAATATTTTCTTCTCAACAAATTCTTTTTTTTTTATCAAGTGTATTAACTGTGATGATTCTTATAGTTTATTAAAATTTAATTTTTTTTTAAATAACATATATAATTAAAAAATATAAATATAAATTAATACAACTTACATTGATACTTTGATTAAAATCATTTAATGTATTTATAAATATTTTGCTAATATAAAAACGTTAGTAAAGATAAACCTGTCTGAGTTATTTTTAACATAATTAAAAATCCATTTTTTTCAGTGTTTTAGCACGCCTTCCTGGGTAAGCCTGAGTTACTATTAGGCAAAAGTTATACAAAGAGTTGTCTAAAATAAAACTAATGTAAAAATTTCTCAACATTTTTACTGTTTACGGAAAGGTAAAAAATGAGGTTTAAAGCCATTTATTGAACATTTTAATGCTGGAAACAAAGAGATTTTTTACTTTCCAATAAAAAATACATTTTAGGATTGTAAATACTAACACTTTTGTTTTAAATGTTTTATAAAAGCTGTCTTGTCATTTTTTATGTATTATAGTGATTTTTTTTATTTTGTTTGATACTTGGATTAAAAAAAGATTTATAAAAAAATAATTATATAAGAACTTAAAATCTACTTTTTAAAAATATATAACAGTAATAGTCAAAAATGGAAAACACAAAAAATTTAAAAATTTTTAAAAATTTAAGAATTGCAAACTGTTGAGATCTCTCCTTAACTAAGCTGAGAAACCAGACAAACTGACTGGAACAAAAAAAGGAAAATTTTCTTAACAAAACAAACATTAAATAAAAATAAATTACCAGATAAAAATTGGTCAGCAATATTTTCTGAATCTTCTTCGACTTCAAGAATACTAATTCTTAAGTTTGTGGATATGTGTCCAATTTCATACATCTACGCAAATAATGAAATAAGTATTGTAAATAAATGAAAATTTTTATTTAAAAAAGTTTAATACAAGTTAATAATAATACAAGTTATTTATTAAAATATTATTACTATTAATTAATTAAAAATATATATTTAACAAAATTTTAAAGAATAATTTATATATATATATATTATTAAATTATAATAACATTATTAAAACTATTTTTCACATTTTATAATATGAAAATGTTTTATATTATAATAATATAGATAAACAAAATAAAATATATAAATAAAAATAATAAATATAAACACAAATTTTGTTTAAACTATTGTAACTCATTGTTTTAACATCAAAAAAAAAAAAAAAAAAACATCAAAAACTTCCATTTAAATTGTAACCTGTAAAAGTTCAGTTTGTTTCTGAGATTTATTTTGAAACTTATGATATAAGTCATCACTCTCTTCAATAAGTTCTTTAAGATCCACTTGTTTATCTTCAATTTGAGTCTCAAATTTAAGATTCATAACTAAAACAAATATAGAAAATTTTTTTATATTTCAAAAAAAAAAGTGAGAATAATTTTTTTAACTTTTAAATTATTTTATCATTTCTTATTTTAACTCCAAATAATTCAATAATAAATAATAAATATAATAACATAAAATTTGAAAATTTATCTTTAAATTGAATAATAGACATAAACAACAATAAACCATAGTAACATTACTATGTTAATAACCATAATAACATAACAAACTTTAGCTTTAAAAAAACTGATATATTTTCAAGTGTTGCAAAAACTAAAAAATCTTTATTTATGAATGATAGTAGTAATTAATAATCTTTATTTTTGAATGATAGTAGTAATTAATAATATACTAGTAGTAGTTACAAAATGTGTCCATTAAACATTAGAAAGTTTTAAACACCTCCACTTCCAGTACGGCTGCAAGAAACTACTATTAAAGTTGAAACTTAATGGAAGAGAAAGATGAACTTTATAAAGCAAAATAACGATATAAATAACTTTATTAACGATTGAGGATAACGGTTGAGGGAAACTTAAAAGATTGCAAATTAAAAAATTATATGAATCAGGAAAACAAGATAAAAGGAGCAAATTCCAAAGAACTTATGTTCAAGGAAAAAAAACACACAAAAATATAAGAATTTTTGGAACACTTAGGAACAGTCACAGTAAAAACATAAGACTTAATTAAATGACCAATAACACAAGAATGAATTTTAGTAGATGATACAAGAGATGCTAGCTCTTTAGAGCAGCATCCATTATAGCATTTATAGAAAAGAGAAAGAGAAGCAACATTATGACGATGAGACAACAGTTGAAGGTTGAATACAGGAGCAGATCCAATTATATTTTCAATCCATTTTTGCACCTTGTCTAAAAGAAAAAGAACATCAATGGAAGATATGGCCCAGATATGGCAACATTAATTAATACAAGAATTTGAAATCTGAATTAAGAAAGTGGCAATCACGATAAAGAGATGCAACTTTAGCAGATGGAAATTTGCAATAACTTTGATATATGGTTTCCAAGAAAGATTGGAAGTAAGAATTAATTCTAGAAGATGGGTAAATAATGAAAAGTAATGTACTCATTGAGTACATTACTTTTCCTAAATATAGGAAGATCTAGATTATTGAAGTTAAACATTAGAAAGTTTCAGTTAAACACTAGAAAGTTTCAGTTAAACATTGGAAAGTTTCAATTAAACACTTGAAAGTTTTATTTAAACATTTGAAAGTTTTAGTTAAACACTAAAAAATTCAGTTGAACTCTAGAAATTTGATGTTTTACACTAGAAAGATCAAGTTAAACGCTAAAAAGTTGAACACTTGAAAACGCTAAAAAGTTGAACACTTGAAGACGCTAAAAAGTTGAACACTTGAAAACGCTAAAAAGTTGAACACTTGAAAACGCTAAAAAGTTGAACACTTGAAAATGCTAAAAACTTGAAAATCTTCTAGTTATATCATAATAAAAACTCTTCTAATAAAAACGAGAAAATAATAAAATAAAAAAACGAGAAAATAATAAAAAAAAAAAAAAACGAGAGTTAAACAAAAAAATTGTGCTGAACTTTTTTTTGCACACATAATAACCCTGCCAATATATAAGCATTAAACATAAAATTAATGAAACCATAAAATAAACATTAAACGTAAATTAAATGAATTTTAAAATACTAAAATAATTTTCTTTTATTTTGAACTAATAAAAGAAAATTAATTTGTTTTAAATTATTCATATGTGAATTATTTACTTCTAAAAAAGAAATATAGCAAACTTAATATTTTTTTTTATTTCAATTTATTATTATTTTTTATTATTATCATTATAACTAAGATTTCAAATTGATTATATTCATTCTATTAGAAATATTAACTTTTTTTAAAATTTTTTATTTCATATAACAAAATCAAAATATTGTGAAATATCTTTATTATCAGGTTATTATTAATAAATAGCTTTTTATTATCAGGTTTCTTTGTATTTTTATTTGCTTAGAAATAGAAAGTTATAAAATAAAAATGAGAAATTAAAAAAATTAATTTCCACCTTTTAAGTGATTATTAGTGGAAAAAAGCACCTGCAACACACTTACCAGTAACAACACATAATACTGACATGTTTTATATATTAACACAATTTAATAACCAAAAATTAAAAAAATAAAACTCACCTGCAATATTTTCATTTTCTTCTAGTAACTTTGTTCTTTGAACTTGTAAATCAGTTATCTTAAAGAATATGCACACATATAAACGTTTAAATACTCACACTCTAAAAGTTAAATATATATTCACACATCCTAAAAGTTAAATATATACCCACAGACCTTAAAAATTAAAAACTGTCTAAGGATAACAAGCATACTACCAAAATATCTCTTTTAATATAAATATAATTAAAGTCAACAAGTCATATGAATTCCACCTCTCGTTGACACTTCTCATAACTTAACAAATTTTATGTTTATTTTTATATTTTATTTTTTTCTGCCTTTTAAAAAAAAATTTTATTTTGAATAAGTGAAAAAATTACAAAAGTGAAACAAAATTACAAATTAGAACTTAGTAATATCTTTATTATTTATCAGTAAAGCATTATTAACAAGGGAAAACACTATCTGCGATAGTCACCTATAGTAAGTTTTGCTATGAGATAAATTGAGAGAAGATTTAAACTCTATAATTTTATACAAAGGCCCGTAAAGCTTGCAAAACATAGGGGCATAATCTTCCTCATTAAAATGGTGGAATTTTGATAAATTAAAGAAATGATTAAAAAATTTATTCAAAAACTAAGGATAACAAGCATATTACCAAAATATCTCTTTTAATATAAATATAATTAAATTCAAAGTCAACAAGTCATATGAATCATCTCTGAATCCACCTCTGGTTGACACTTCTCATAACTTAACAAATTTTATGTTTATTTTTATATTTTATTTTTTTCTGCCTTTTAAAAAAGACTTTTATTTTAAATAAGTGAAAAAAAAATTACAAAAGTGAAACAAAATTACAAATTAGAACTTAGTAATATCTTTATTATTCATCAGTAAAGCATTATTAACAAGGGAAAACACTATCTGCAATAGTCACCTATAGTAAGTTTTGCTATGAAATAAATTTTATACAAAGGCCCAAAAAACAAGAAGCCCATAAAGCTTGGAAAACAAGAGTAAGATTATTCAGAATTCAAAATAAATTTATATCATTAATATTGCATGTTAGTTATAATTTAAAATAATGTTAATTATAATTTAAAAAAATTATAAAGATCTAATGTTTGATCTTACTCTTTAAAATGGTGGAATTTCGATCAATTAAAGTAATGATTAAAAAAATTATTTATAAATTATTTATAATTCTCATTAAAAATAGTTCATTAACTTAGTTGATAAAAAAATCACAATTATAAAATATGTATATAGACAGTCACTCCAAAAAAATTAAAAAAAAAGAAGAGCTAATTGTCACTAGGGTCTGGCTTGTATGTATGCAGCCCAGGTGAGGCCTGCAAGCAACAAAAATTCATTATGCATAATTAGGTTTTGTTGGTTTAAACACTATAAAAGATATATTTACATGCTATATATACATTATATTATAATTTATATGCTATATTTTATATACTATATATACAAATATTTTTAAATACATATGAAATAAATAGTAGAAAAAAATGAAATTTTTCAAATACTTATTTAAATTTAATTTAGTAACTTAAACTTTAATCATATTATTTTAATTATAATGCATATATATTATATTATATACTTATGCTTTTTCTTGTGGTTTTGAAAAAAGACTTAATTACAATATGAGATTTTAAATATTCTGTTATGCAACAAAAATCTCGAACAATTTATTTGTTATTTATTTTAATATCAACCCTGTAATAATTTTTATTTAAATGATCAGTAATTACTGTTTTCATTTCTTCGATGTATTCCAACAATAAATCTTCGTTGTTGCATACATTTTCCAGTTCAATTTTTCTAAAGTATAAAATCTATATGTAAACTTATTTAGAAAGAATCAAAAGTAAAAAAAAAAGTGTTGAAAGCAGTTTCTTTTTTAGTAGAAAAGCCCAAGAAAAATTTACAAACCAAGGAAGAAAAGTGTAAAAATACAGAGAAGAGTTGGAAAAAGAATGAGAATAGTTGGGAAGTCAGATAGCTTGAAAGTATTTATAATAAAAGTAAAGAAAATGGAGTTGTGTGGTGTGATGCGGTGTTGTGTAGTTATTCTGGAAGAGTATACACAAAATAGATTAGGATCAAAACCAATAGAAACCAAAAGAAAAAAAACTAAATTAAGATCAAAAATAATGAAAACTTACGAAAAATGCTTCAGTTTTTCCATTACATTATTAATGTCTGTTTGAATATCACAAGGTTGAATGGCTTCATCATAAGTGCATTTATTACTTGCAATTACCTTTAAAAAATTGTAAAAAAATTTAAAAAAATATTAACTACAGCTATAAATTATTATGCAGTTTGTGGCATAATAATGTAATTTGTATTTTATTTAATTTTTATTATATTTACTTTAAATTTATTTTACAATTACTTTATAATTTACTAACTATAATTATACAATATATTTGTTAAAATATTAGATTAAATAATTAAATTATTTTATAAAAGGTTAAATTATTATGTTTTTATGCTGCTATATGCAAACAAAGATAAAGTTTTATAAAAAAAAAGACTTTGCAGTGAAGTTTGCTCAATTAAAATTAAAAAAAAATGTCTTTAAATCAAAAAGCTCAATTTTAAAATAACTTTTAAACTCTTTAAATAAATTTTGACAATTTATAACATTAACTGATGTATGTCAGTATTCTCTAGATCATATTTTATCATAGCATTTCAGTATGATCTGCATCATATCTCATTATAGCATCTCAGTAGAAACACAGATCAATTCATTATAAACTCAAATCAGCTTATTATAAACTCAAATCAACTTTTTATAAATTCAGATCAACTCAAAATTTATTTAAACTTGGATCTTTTTAAAGTTTAAAAAAACTAAAATTTTAGAGAAAATAACAACAGCATTATCAAAAACATCAAAAAAAAATTTTTTAATCTATTATATATAGGGTCATTAAAATGCTAAGTTATTAAGAAATGTTATAAAGCAGTTGCACTGCTTAAAAAAAAAGGCAACCCTCAGAATTAGGATAAATGAAGTCAACTTATTGCCAACCTAAATCTTTTTGAGGTCGGCATCAGGTCGGCAGTGTTTGTAATATAGATAGTTTAAGCTGCATGTTTTATCTATGTTCCAACTGAAACTTGAAAAATGTGTTTGAAAAAGATTTTGATTTTGATACAAACTATCAACTGACCAAACATTCCACACTTGTCACATTCCAAGCTAGCATTATTGAGTTTATTGAAACTCTAAGTGAAACATTGTATGATCTTTGTCACCACCACTTTATCAAAAAAGCACAATCTTCCTACTTATCAGTGGAAAAAGACACATTAAAACAACAAACCTGACCAACTTTGCTATGAAGAAACATCAGTTTATTGTTTTCGCACATAGTTACTCCCTATGGTCAAAAATAAATTACCCACAATCAATAAAATGAAATATTTCAGTGATTGTGCTGCATTACAGTGCAAAAATTAAAAATATTAAACCTAATGTAAAAAAATAACCCTAAAGATCACAATATAAATGCTGAGCATAACTTCTTTACTATGTTCCATGGCAATACTAACGTAGTGAAATAAGAGGAACTATAAAAAAAAAACAAAAAACAGCAAAAGCAAATCTACAAGCAGCAATTACAAATCAGATTCTCGCACCACACAAATTGTTTACATGAGTGTTAGAATATTTTATCAAGTGAAAATATTTATAACCATAAAACTTATTTATAACCATAAAAATATTTAAAACCATAAAACTTATTTTAACTTCCATCATATATGAAGATATGAGCACAGTCAAGATATGAGGCAGTTTTGCACCAGGTAGAAAGAAATATTTTTTTCCAGAGAATCTCTAGCAATCCTGTTTATGATACCCGTTTGCTGGATAATGTCAACTTGCAATAAATAGTTTATATGATTTTTTCTCTTTTTCAAATACTATATTTTTTGAGTCTATATCCAATGCTGATGCTACTAGATTTGTCATACTTGTATCCAGTTTTTTAACTTTATGCTTTTGACATACTAATTTGTTGAATTGACTTACATTTTTGAGTGGAGATATTTTCAATAAAGATACAGTCTCAATACTTTAGATTTTGATTTTACAATGAAATCTTAATGCAGTTAAAGTGTTTTACACTCAAACTATAAATATGCGTAAATAATATTCATAAACTTAAATATATATTTCAAAATTGTATCAAATGAAATTGAATTAAGACACTGATAATATCATTTAAAGGAAAACTGAATATATTCATTCAGAAAAAATTAAAAACATACACCTAGGTCATAAAGGTACAATCATGTCATATGTCAATATGATAGAGTGTAGGTAAATCTTTTTGGGTAATTGCCCATATAAAGAACTTCTACAGTAAAAAGCTTCATAGTTTATTTTAACTGTTTACGCTATTTTCTATGCCTGCAAAGTGAATGTGATTTATTAAATATTTCAAAAAAAGTGATATTTTAACAGGCTGCTGCAAGTGTTTAACTAACTTTTAATGCATAATTTTGCTTTTTATCACAGGTGGTTATCCTAAGTACACAAAAGTAATGCAAAATTTGGACTACCTATATGTAGGTATTGAACTGTAGCACATTAAAGTTTCCAAAATTTTTTATAATTTCAGTATTTTTAGCGACTATGGGATACAATAACTCAAAAACTGTTTAAAATCAGTCAAAAATACCTGCAAAAATTATTTAAGTGAAAAACTATTATTGTGCAAAATCTCAGGTCTCGTATATTTTATTTCAAAAGTTATGATCTGTCAAAAATCAAAAAAATCTACTGGAACTTACAGTAGATTTTTTTTCACAGTAATAGTTTTTTACCCAAATATAATTATTCCAAATAATATAAATAATAGTATTCCAAACATCTTTTATAGTTAAACTTCATAATAGAATTTTTTCGTTTGTTGTTCGTTATGAAAAGATTGCTGTAGAAGGTTATTAATTATTATTTACCTCAAAATTTAATTAAAAGTTAAAAAAAAGTTTTTTTTTTTAAATTTCTAAGACATGAGTATAACTCAATAAATAAATTAAAAAAAAAATGTATATATATATATATATATATATATATATATATATATATATGTATAAATATATATATATATATATATATATATATATATATATATATATATATATATATATATATATATATATATATATATATATATATATATATATATGTATATATATATATATATATAGTTATGTAAGTAAACAGTGTGATATTTGGTAAAAAAAATTATTATCAAGTTAAAAGTTGAAATTAATAAAATAATTAATTAAAAGTTGAAATTAAATATATATAAATTAAATTAAGTATAAAGCAAATATTCATAACATAATTTAGTTGTTATTTATTTATGTTAAATGTATTCATCTTTTATATATGATTAAAATATTAATAGTATAATTTATTATATATATTAATTTGTATTAATTGTATGATGAAATCAGGAAGATGAGAATTGAATCCAAAGCATTGAGAAAAAAACTTTTTTGAAACGGATAGATACAGTAAAAGAATGCAACTTAGCTGAGTGACAAATCACGCAAAATTGAGTTTTGGTTGATGGAACGATAGATAATTATTTAAGCAGTACCTGTGGTAGTACTTGATTAAACAAGAAAAAAGGATTGACTAGAAACTGAAAAGAAGGAATAAAAGTTTCTATGCTTGCCAAATTGATGGAAATATATAGTTGCAATTATCAGTGGAGAGACAAAAACTCAAAACTGTTAAAAAAAAAATAAGTTTTGGTGAGAAACAATAAGTGATAGGATAGTTTTTTATAAATTTTAATATTTTGGGTTATTTTGGGGATGGTTTAAGTTTAAATTTGACTCATTCATAGATAAAGGACTTTTTTAAATTAATAATAAAAATATAATAAATAATAAAAGTAATAATAAAATTAAATTAAAAAATTACAAAAATAATATAAATTAAAGCAAACCTTATGATTTTCTGAATAATGAGGAGGTCGATCTGGAATAACATTAAGTTTAACTTCTTTTACTGGATTAATTAATTGTTGATTAAAACCTGAAGGTGAGGTGAGATTTGTAGAGGGTGAAAAGCTATAAAATAATATATTTAGATACTACATTACTTAAAACATATATGACACTGTAAATATATTTAAAGATTAATCTAACCTATTACTAAACTGCGGAGGATTAGTTTTAAATTCTTTTATTATTTGCTTGACCACCTTTCCAAGATCTGAATGTACATAAAACTAAAACCAAAATGAAACTATTAATATTTTAAAAGAGAATAGAATAAAAAGGATGCTGTACACACTTGTGTTGAGTCTTAACTACATAAAATTACTATGACAACCGATAACAAAAATAGAGTAAGAAACTAAAATGTTTATCAATACTGTTTTTAAAAAGGTTTATGTTTTCTTTATATCCCTTGAGGAAGACAATTTCTATCCTTTGTAACTCAATGAAGAAGACAATTTCAATCCTTTGTAACTGTTTGTGAAGAAATAGTGACTATTTTTGAATCAATAAATTGTCTGTATATTCTACAATTGCTTGTTTTCAATTGTTACTTGTGCTAGATCATTTTTGCTCAAATGGTTCTGAAGGGTGATGAAAGGTGGTGGAGGGTGGTATAAATTAACTATATCCAAATGGGGACATGATTTGTATAATAATTTAATGAAAATTCATTCAAATACTCCAATTCATCCAATTTATCATGCTATGTAATACAATGTAAGAAAAACAAAGAAAAACAAACAGATATTCAGAATTAACACAGATTTATTTTAAGAAGAAAAAGCACAAATCATAGTAAACAGTAAATAAAAAAGAATCATAGTAAACAGTAAATTTATTGTTAAAGAATAAAACGAAACAGTACACATAAGTAACCATAGTAACCATAAATCTTCATTAAATACAAAAGTTTATCTTACTTTGAAATAAATATACATATGCATAGATATATCAATATTTAAAATAAACAAATATAAAATGATAAGAGGTATAAGAAAAAATATTATTGCTTTTGCAAAATCATAATTTGTGTAGTAGTGGTAATAAACTTCTCCTCACAATTGTGTTTATTATTACCGGCGTTTCGAAGAGGCTCAGCACCAATACCTAGTTTAATCCATCAGATAAATACCGCCATTTATGCTTTACCCAGCATTTTTTGCATATTTTGCAAACAGGTGGGTTAATGTGATAACTTTATTTTTTGAAACTATCAAAAATATCAACTGAAAACAACTTAAAACTAAAAAAAATATCAAGATCTTTTTCTAGAGTTCACTCAGTTAAAACAGAACTTTTCAATTTATTTTGTTTTTTATAAACATGGCAAAAATTGATTGAAACAACTTTAGTATCCTTTTCATATAACTTAATGTCTTTAAACTTTCTAGATATGTTCAGGGTTTGAATTAAGGGTATTGTGATTTCAAATTGTGATTCCTTTTCTCACCTTGCAAATATTTTTTATTCAAAAAAATATTTGATTAAGGTTTTTAATGGGGGTCAGCCATAAAATACAATACGTTAAATTTATTTTTCAAATAGAAGTATGATTATTTGCTCTCTTGCGCAGAGATATTTATTCAACATAATTCAATTTGGAATATAATATACTTTATATCTGTGCATGGAAGCCAATAAATTGCAAGAAATGTTACTGGATTAGGGCAGAAAATCCTTGAACAGAAAATAAAAAAGATATGTTGCGGCTAGCCTAGCATTATAGCATTATAGCATATAAACTTGTGTAAATTTTAACTGAGAATATGTTGTATTTTGTAAAAGAAATCTGATTTGACTAATTTTTGTTGGTGTCGTGTCACATTTTCCCCCCATAGCTGAAAATTTAAATAAAGAATTTAAAAAATGACTAGACTTTAGGATCTTTACATGAATAGAAAAAAAAACATAAAATCATAATAATTCACAGAGTTGAGATTTTACATACTTCCATATAAAGATATTAGTAGGTATAGTTAAAGATATTAGGTATAGTTAAAGATATAGTTAGTAGATAGAAGAATAAAAGATATAGTTAGTAGATAGAAGGTATAGTTAAAGATATTAGAAAGTATATTTAAAGGTAATAAATCATTTGCATGTTGACAAAAATAGTTCAACTACTCCATCTTATCTCTTCATATAGAAGTCTTTTTATAAGATTCATACCTATAGGCATAAATCTTATTCAGAAGTTGTTATGTGATACTGTGTTGTATTTTGAGACTTTGTGGATAGTTTTTCATAATTCTATCTATGACAGCTCTATCTGTTACTATGCACAAAATAAGTGAGAGAGACCAGCTTGTAGTTATAAGTCTTGAGTTTTTTTTTTTTTTTAGAGCGAGTAGGCGCAACATTTAATTTGCGTTGAGATTTGAAAATTCTTTTGGAAGTCGTTAAATCTTAGCAAATTAGAACTTTATTTGTTTATGTCAATTTTAACTTTATTTGAAATAAAGTTAAATTGTCCAGTATTTTATGTTTTTTTTCTGTTTATTTAAAGACACTAAAGTCTAGTCATTTTTTTAAGTTCTAGAAAAATGTTAGTCAAGATGAAAATAACAACTTGCTGCATCATAAAAAAGTACAAAGTACTCATCTTATACTTAAACACTAACCGTAAAATTTATAAAAATCATATATATTAATTTTTTTTTTTTTAAATTTGCATTCACTTCCAACAAGGCTGCAAGCAACCACTATCAAGTTGGGAGTTACTAGGAAAAAAAAGAACAGAGTTATAGAGCAAGGAAACGGTTGACAGAAGACTTGAAAAGTTGAAGGTTGTATGAGTCAGGAAAACATGAAGATGGGAGAGAGTTCCAAAGGATTGAAGTGCGGGGAAAAAAACTAGATGAATAAAAGTTTTTAGAGCATGCAGGGACAGATACAGTAAACGAATGAGACTTAGCTGAATGACGAGTAAAACGATAATGAATTTTAGTTGATGGAACTAGAGATGATAACTCCTTTGAGCAGTGACCATGATAGTATTTGTAGAAAAGAGAAGAGATGCAACTTTACGACGATGGGAAAGAGGTTCAAGCTTAGCAGATAGTCCAGGTCCAACAACATTTACAATGCGTTTTTGGACCTTGTCAAGAAGAGAAAGTGAATCGTTAGAAGAACCAGCCCAAATATGACAACAGTATTCCATACAGGGACGAATAAGAGATTTGTAGAGGTAGAGAATGGAATCAGAAGTAAGGAAATGGCGAGCACGATAATAAGAAGCAACCTTAGCAGAAGCTAATTTAGCAATCGATTGTATATATGGTTTCCATGAAAGATCAGTAGTAAGCGATAATCCAAGAAGACGTAATGAGGACGACTCAGTAAGAGGATTGCCATTCATTAATATAGGAATGTTGACCATATTATGGTAGTTGTTTGCAGTAAGCAACTGGGTTTTTTTAGAGTTGAAATTCACAAGCCACTGTGAACCCCAATCTATTACTAAAGTGAGATCGGATTCAAGATCAGCTGCTTGTTCTAGGCAATCGAAAAGAGAGGACTTTTTGTCAAGACAGGAGTATAAAGTTGAGTCATCAGCAAAAAGAGCTACTTTAGAAAAAAAAGTTGTCAGGAAGATCGTTTATGTAGATAAGAAACAAAACAGGGCCAGGATGGAACCTTGGGGAACCCCAGAAGTTAATGGAAATAAAGAAGAGTGTTGGCCTTCAAGGATGACTTTAATAAACCGGTTAGAAAGAAATGATTTGATAATCTCAAAAACTTTCCCAGAAACACCATATGAAGCAAGCTTATGGAGAAGACCAGCATGCCAAACTTTGTCGAAAGCTTTAGATATGTCGAGAGCAACCGCCCTAGCCTCACCGCCTCCATCTAATGCACGATAAAATCTTTCAGTTACAGCAGTTACCAAGTCGGCCGTAGAGCGAGAGGATCGAAAACCGTATTGATTGAGTAGTTTATTTGACTCAAGATGAGATGTGAGGAATTTGTTGATCAAAGACTCAAAGACCTTGCTAATAACAGAAAGAAGACTGATCGGACGATAATTGGAGGGGTCAGAATTTTCTCCAGAGTTTTTGAATATTGGAACCACAGATGCCATTTTCCAACAAGCAGGAAAACAAGACTCAGTCAAACACTTGTTAAATAGTTTAGAGAGAATTGAAGAAAGTTCTGGAGAACAATTCTGCAAGACTGTGACAGGAATGTTGTCTGGACCACAAGCTGTAGACGAGTTTAATTGAGATATGACTTTAGCAACAGAAGCCGGAGTGATTTGAATGTCTAACAATGGGTCAACCTGTTTGACTGGAATGGAAGGAAGAGAATGTCCATAAGATTTAAGAGTGGAATTAGAAGAAAAGTTCTTTGCAAATAGTTCTGCCTTATCCTTGGGAGAGGTAATAAGATCAGTCCCATGAACGAGAGATGGAATGTTAGATCTACCCTTGTTAATAATGCTGTAGAAGATTTGCCAAAAGTCTTTAGAGCCTAACTTCTGCGATAAGATGCGAGATTTAGTGAACTGAGAATAATGGAGTTTAGCATCAGAAAGCACCTTTTTACATCGATTTCTTGCAATAGTAAATAGCCGTTTGTTCTCAAGAGAGTTGTTCTTTTGAAAAAGATGAAAAAAATGATTACGATTGGATATAGCAGCCGCACAAGAAGGAGAAAACCATGGAGTAGAATGAGGCTTGACTTGAAACCGACGCGAATGAATAAAAGCTTCCATTCTAGCCTGAATCCAGGAGGTTATGTAGGAGGCGCATTTGTCAGCTGAGAGAGAAAAAACATCAGCCCAAGGACCATCACGAAGAAAATCACGAAAGGAATCCCAGTCAGCTTTAGGGTAGTAGTAGGTATAATAGTAATTTATTAACACTTTGAAATAGATAGAAATATAAATTTTATTTTAATTTACTAATTGCATCAACTTTTTTCCTTTTTTTTTTGGTTTCCTTGAGGCTGATGCTGCAAAGTTAAATATTAGATATCTGATACTATTTTTGTAAGAAATAAGCGAAGGTCTCTTTTTTCAGAAATATTCAGGCTGTTTCTTTCTTTGGTCATATTATGATTAACAGCACTAATGCCTGACTCCACTAGATTTGAGGTAGGAAAAGATATCAACAAATTGAATAAATGTTTCCACATATTTGGATATAAGAGGCATTTTTTTATTCAGCCATAAGTTTTCATATCCACTGTTATTAAAATTCGGTTTTCTTTATCATATTTGAATTCTAAGAGTTTTTCTTGACACTTTATATCCTTAATTTTAAATTCTTAACATTTGCTGTAAATGCATTTTTCAATTGAAAACCTTTAAATTGAAAATATCTTTAAATTGTAAGTTAATTAAGATGGTTACTGAATTTTTTAATATTTTCTGGAGATCTTTTTTATAGATGATAATTCAGGAAACTGATAAAACTCTTTTTTTAATAAATTATGACAGAAAAGTTCAAGTTTGTCAATAAATAATGACACTTTGGCAACTTTTAAGAGTTTTATCAGTGTCTAAGAGTTGTAAATTAATATCATCAAACCTCTAAAAAATATCTGCCAAATGAAGACATATTTTTTGAAAATTGTTGGGAGAGAGTGGTTTCATTGCTGCTTTAGAAATATTTAATGATACTATCATATAGTGCTACAAAATGGTTTGACCACATCCCTGGGATACCGCACTTAACTCGTTTCTCTTTGCAACAGCTTTGTTCGTCAAGGTTAAAGTTTGGATTAATAAAGTTAAGAGAGGGTTGTAACCACAAAAAAAAAAAAAAAACTGAAATGGCCCCTTTGGCCTTGGGAAAGTGAACAACATAAAAAATATATACACACATAGAGATTTTATCAAAGCTGTGTAACTAAATATATATATAAACAAAATTTAACCATACTGTTTTCAAACCAGGTGCATCAACTATTATCATCTAAAAAAAAAAAAGAGAAAACTTTAAAATAAAAATTTAAGGTTTTTTAAGTATCAAAAAAAATTAGGTTCATACTTGTTCATTGACCCAAGGATGTTTTAACTTTGGTGAAACAGTGACAATAGGTTTCTCATTCGGAAAATTAGGAGGTAACAATCTAATAACCAAAATATAAATAATAAAATCGTTAACTTTCTTTTATTTATTTTTTATTATTTCTTTCAACTTTTTAATTATTTTTAAAATTTTTATTGTTACTCTTGTTTAACTATTTATTTGTTGAACAACCAAGTAATGAATAACCAAAATAACTAACAATATTTAAAGAAAGCTTCAGATATAAATAATAAACTAAAAAAACAAAGTTTAATAGAGTAACTAATAAAAAAATATTTAATAAATAAAATAATGAATAAAATAACCAAAAAAACTAACAATATTATGTATCAGCAAAATAATTTCGAAAAAAAAAATTATTGTATAAAACTAAAAAATATATATATTTTTCCTGAATTTTATAAAAGATTTAAAAAATCCCTGAGTTTTTCAGGTTTTCCCTGGGATTCATGCTATTTTCAGGTAATCCAGGTTTTCCAGGCTGAGTGGCAACCCTGATATTCCTTTCGTCTCTTTAAAAAAAAACATTTTTAGATATCAGTTTGTCGTCAACTTCTAATGTTTCTTAAGAACTTCCTAATACTAAAAAAATTGAAGGTCAATTAGAAAATATAGAGTTAATATAGAACAGTATAATCCCCATAGAAATAAATCTGAAAAAAGAATAAAATACGAGTGTGCAAAAAGAAGAAAAATCTTGCATCTTAATAAAAAAAAAAAAAAAAGAAACGCATTCATTGAAACGCATTCAGTGAAAAAAACCAGTTACTACAAAAATAAATATTATTAAAACTAAAATGGGTTAATCTACTGAAGAGATGCTTACTCATAATATACTGAAGAGATGCTTCCTCGTAATCTATTGAAGAGATGCTTCCTCATAATCTACTGAAAAGATGCTTCCTTGTAATTATCATGTACATTAGGTGTACTGATTATGATGATTATGCTTACATTATAAAAAATAAATCAGGAGAGGGGGGGGGGGAATATTTCTTTGCCTGATGGTTACAGTGGAACTGTAAATTACATCTTCTGGTCCTCCAACTATATTGAAACAAAAAACTCAAAAACAAAAAATTTAAAAAAACTTCTCTCTATTATTAGCAAGATGTTTAAATCTTTAACTAATAAAAATAAATAAAATAAAATAAGTCTAACAACTACTGTTCGAACATCAACACTTTCTATCTCTCTTCTACAGCCGTCTACCGCTGACTTGTTAACCATAACAAAAAGATGCATAAAGATTCATGCATTTGATGAAAGTGATAAAGAAAAGTCTATTGCTCTTGAAATATCAAAAACTTTTCATAAAATCTGGCATCCTGGTCTTCTCCATAGACTTGCTTTCAAGGTGTACCTGTCAAAGTTTTAATTATAAATATTTAAAATATTTAAACCATTTCGTTCTAACAAATGTGTTAAACTATATACTCTATACTCAGGTCTCGTAATTAGGAAAAGCGAGGTCGGCCAAATGCTGACCTAATTCTGAGGGCTGCTATACAATATACTATTTTGTCTTCTGGTAACTTCTAATTTAAATAATAGTTGCTGGCAGCCTTGTTGGAAGTAAAATAGTTTAAAAAATTACATAAATTTCTTATAAGTATATAAAAGATACAATACATTCAATGCTTAAAAAATCAATAAAGTTTAAACTTTCTCAAGCACCTACATGTTAAAGTTTATAGTGTTGCCAGCAACAGGAAATGTAACTCTATACTCAATATCTCTTTGAACTTCAATAACACTAAATGAAATTACAACATAAGAACAAGAGTTTATATTTCAAATATATATATATATATATATATATATATATATATATATATATATATATATATATATATATATATATATATATATATATATATATATTAGGTTTTGTTGTGAAACTAGGTTTTTTTTAAATTTATGATCATAATAATATTAAAAAAAAAAAAAAAAGAAATCAATAATATTAAAAAAAGGAAGACAAAAAGTTTTTTTTTAGTGTTATTCTTTTTCTTTTTTTCTATTTTTAAAAAACTTTTTTTATTCTTCTTTTTAAAAAAGTATTTCAATTGTTTAAATTTTAAATCTAAGTTTACATTCAAAAATTAGGCTGCACAGAATATATGCAAATCAAAATACACAGTATATTATGAAATTTAATTTAAATTTTTACTTTAAGTGTTGTGCAAGACTTTTAATTTGGTTTAAACGTTGTTGTTGCAATGGCGTTGTAACTGGAAAAGAGTTGTAGGATTCACTTGAAGATTTTGAAAAAAACCAACTCATTATTAAACATTATTTTTTTTTTTTTTTTTTTTTTGCTAGAAAAATAATTTTTGTAACACAATTTAAAAAAATTATAACATGAAAAATATGAAGAAAAATCTATTTATTTATTTATAAACTATGACATGTTAATATAACTGTAATAAAATTAAAAAATCATAATATATAATTAAATATCAACTTTCCAACTTAACAAAATAAAATAACTGACAATAAAAAAAAAACAAAAAAAGACAATAAAAAAAGTAAAACAAATTTAAGAAACAAAAAAGATCAGCCCAACTATAGTGACCCCTGGTTCTTGGAGAAGTGTATATAATAAAATATACATACATACATACATACATACATACATACATACATACATACATACATACATACATACATACACATATACATATATACATATATACATACATACATATATACATACATACATACATAAATAAATAAATGCAATGTATGAATATATATATATATACATATAATATATATATATATATATATATATATATATATATATATATATATATATATATATATATATATATATATATATTATATATATATATATACATATATATATATATATATATATATATATATATATATATATATATATATATATATATATATATATATATATATATATATATATATATATATATATATATATATATATATATATATATATATATATATATATATATATTACACATACATATATGCATACATATAACAGAGAGAGAGAGAGAGAAAAAAAAATGAAGAGAGAGACAGACATAGTAAACAAATTGAAACAAAAATAAGAAATATTTATTCAAAAGTATTGGGCAAATATTTTTTGTTTTCTAATTATAAAAAATTAACTGCGTGCTTAGAAAAAAATATCAGAAAGTAGAATAATATAATGTAAATAGTTTGATTAATTAAAACTTTTACTTTTTTTACTATATAAATTGAATATTACTAATATTATCATTATTAATATATAATATACTGATACTAATATTATTATATTATTAATACATAATATACTAATATTAACATTATTAATATACTGTAATATATATATTTTTTAAATGTAATTTTACATTATATATCAATATATACAGTAAATTTATGTGCTTCTATCACTACTGGCACAATACAGTTTGCACACGTGTGTGATGCAACTTAATCTGTTTTTCATTAAAAATGTTGTTGTTTTTTTATAAGCAATTTCAATAAAATGTTGTTGTTTTTTTATAAACAATTTACTTAAATGAAAGAATTCCTAAAGTGGAAATTAAAAAGCATTCTAATTTAATGTCATAAACATTTTTTGCAACAAAAAAAAAAACAATTTTCAATCTTGATCTTTCACTCTAATCCATCTTTTTTCTCTTTAAGAGCAGATTTAAATCTTTCTTCAAGTAAAGAAATTTCACTAAGAAGGTCTGTAATAGCACTTGTGAATGCTTCTTGAGGTGAATAATCAGGAGTAGTTTGAATTCGTACATTAAATTTGTGTTCTAAAGGATGAGGCACTCTATATCCAGCAAATATCACTTGAGGGTCTTTTAATAACTGAGACCGAATCAGGTTCCCAAGAGTATGATCTTCTTTCATTACTGTAAAATGAGCAGCATTTGGAACTTTAGTATCCTTTACAATGTTTATTTTTTTTTCACCGTCCAAAAGAAGAAATGGTTCGAACGATTCTGGAGCATTCATTTTATATAACTTAAAAAAACTCGGGTATAATATTTGAATTTGTGCTAAATAAACATAAAAGATTATGAGTGAATAAAAACACATCACTGATGTTATCAGGTGCAATATATCAATAATATCTTACTACTTACAAGCTTTACTTTTTCTCTGTACAAGAAAAAATTTAATTGGTCTCTAATGAAAATGTCAAATTGATATATAAATTATAATAATGGAAAAAAACAGCATAGCTAATCATCAAATTTAGGGTTATTAATAATAATTAACTTAAAATTGCGAAGTTTTATTATCAGCCCTTATATTATAGGTTAATAAGACTATTTTAAAATTGTTTATAGAAAAAGTTTTTATATCACAATTCAGCACTAATTATATATTTTTTGCTTTTTCTCAATTATCGGGGAGGAGGAGGGGGTGATCGAAGTTTTGTATCAAAGAGATATTTCACTCCGTAAAAATTCTTTACGCAATTTTTTTTATTTTTTATTTTCTAGAAGCCAAATTTTTGATTAGTTGAGCATCTGATTTTTTTTAACTTTTAATTGATTCGATTAGTTTGCTGAGCTATATTTATTAACAATGTAGTAACAAATGCTTGTGCAAAGGTAGGGGTGTGACACCCTCCACCCCCATCAATGAATTTTTCGTTCATATATTCGGCAAAGTTAATCCTTTCAGGCAAGTCAGTCGGCAAATTTGACCCTTTTAGACAAGTCAGTCGGCAAATGTCGATCGACTTTTAGACCAGTCAGTTGCAAATTTCAAAAAATAAGGATTCTTTTTTTTTTTTGTTTAATGTAAATCCACCGCTTTCACGTAAAACCTACCGTGGTAGTAACCGGGTAGTTTGTATTTTATTATTGCGTTCTTCAAAAGAAGTTAGCTACTTTTGAATGACTTTTCCAATATTATTTATTACAATAAAATCATATCGATATTAAGACAATAAAGATATAGACTTTTTAGTTTTATCTTTAACTCAGTCATTTTATATTTTGGCGATGCTGAGTTTTTTTAAAAATATTCTTCATTCAATTCTCTGCAAAATAGCTTCTTTATTTTTTTAAGATTCTACTACAAAAACTTTTTCATCATGAAAAGCAATGATTTTCAAAAAATGGTACTTTCCGAACATCAAAGTTAAAAAAAAAACTAAGCAAGATCTTTTAAGATTTAAAGGGTGCTAGTAGTACTCCTGTTTATGTTGGTGTAAAAATAATACCGAGACAGGCTCAAGTCAATTATCAACATCCAGATCACACTCATATCTGTATTACAGTGTGACACACGCGAGATAATAGACAATAGAGAACTTGACTATATCCAACTTGCAAAGTTACAAACTTACAACATTTATAAGTTTGAAACAGTAAATATTTACTGTTTCATAAATGTCTAAGTTTGTAACTTTGCAGGTTGGATATAGTCAAGTTCTTTATCTCGCCTCTGTGCCACTGTAATACAGATATGGGTGAACAAAATTGTAACTAACATTATTTAGTGTATCTAACTAACATTGTTTAGTGTATATGCCTATTGCTCCATCGTGTACGTTCCATCATATGTAATTTAAATTACATATGATGGTAGTCTATAAAATAAACTATAAAATAAATTATAAAATTCTTTGATGTGATGAATCAGAAATACACCCTTGTTTCCAAACAAGAAAATTTGCTGTTTAATGGATCCAAAGGTTCTTTTATCTTCTGTAGAGAAGATCTACACAACATGTGTTCAAATTACAGAAACAACAAGAAGACTTTGAAGGTTTTGAAGTTTTAAAATCAAGTTAATTTATTTCATTTCCGCGCAAAGTGTTAATTAAATATTTCTAAGGTTTATACTTTTAAAAAGGGCCCATTTCTGAGAGTAATGTCTTATTAACGGACGTTTCTTTTTTTCAGCTTTGAGCAAATGCCCTCGAAATATTTCGATTTCTCGGTGATACCACCACTGAAGTAACTTGTTATATCAACAGTACCAATTCCAAGCTTAAAGAAACCTCTATCGCCAACAACAAATACTTTTACCTTTAGATTAAAAACTTTTTTTTTTTTAATCGCTTATCAGGTGAATTGCTCTACATCTTTTACAAGCACAGCAGGTCCATTAAAGAAGTATTCCATAAAATATACATGAATAAGTAGCCTCCTCGTCTGTAGTGGCCTTCTCGGCCTTGAGGAGGTGAATTAAAATTAAAAAAAAAAAATTCTTTAAACACAGGTGTTACTGATTTACAATATTGCGACGATACCAGAACCAGACAACTTAGTATTGCGACGACACCAGAACCAGACAACTTTCTATCAACCTTAATGGTCATCAAATCTTTGTAACTTTATTCTGAATAAGGCTTTGTTTAACTTTTTGAAACAGTTAAAGATCTACCTCCTAATTTAACAATTTCCGATTCTTCAAGCTTTGCTCTAATTTGATTTGCAACTATTTTTCTACCGCTTCTCGGTTCAGAGTTTTTAACCAACTGAGAAAAAATTGTGGAACCAAAAACCTTTGTACTAGTATGACCTCGTAACGAATCAATGAATTGAATTAACTACTAGTTACATATAATTACGGGCATTTTATTTATTGGGTCGTTTTTCTAGAACTCTTGGTCTACCCTCAGATTTAATTCTTTTTGGTCTTGGTTTTGTTGATTTGACTACTTTGCAAACTGTACAACCTCAGACAATTTTACTTCTGGTTAAGACGAAAAGAACTACTCATAATGTTGCAAGATTTAAAGATGTATTTAAACTGAACGAAGAGCATAGGGAACATAAGAGCATTAAGTGTTGCATGTACCAGTTGCAAAAGACGGATTATGATTATTATAATTTGGTAAAACCAATGTTTTCATAAGTATTAAGGCTGTTACTGAAAGTGTTGTCTGCTTCTCGATAGCATATACAGCAGTATTTATGACGAGCATCAAAATTTGTTACAACAAAATTAGGCATTTTATGTCATTTTTATGCTTTTTAATTAGCTAGATTAAAAGGTTTTTGGTTTTTATCATTATTTTGTTTATTTTGTAGTTAAAAAAGATTTTTAAAATTTTTGTAATTAAATATAATTGTTTAATTTAAAATTATTTAATTTAGTTAAAAAAAAAAACAAAAAAAACGCTGTTATTTGATGGGGCAAGTTTTTCTAATTTTGTGAAAACTTTACAAGTATTTTGCCAAGGAAGCTTAATTTGGCCATGTGCACTTTTTTAAAACATTACTGCAAATTTTATATTTTCCATGTTGTCAATTTCCAATTTTGCTTTACAAATAATTCTATCAAAAAAGTTTTTATAAAAACGAAAAAAAAAATTACATTTCTAAAAGTTTACTTTTTGATAAAAATAAGAAATTCACAACATTTACAATTACATAAGAGATTCTATATTACAGAATAAAATACGGAAAAAATTTTCTTCATATCAAAACAACAATATCAACTCCAAGACCATGTTTCAAAAACACTTTTTGTCATTGGGTATCATACGTGGTAAACTAGTAATAAACTGATCAATTTTTTAATATTTGATAACAATTTTTTACTGCAGTTACCATGTTGATTGATAAGCAGACCATCCAATAGCACTTAGAAACTTGAACTAAGTGATTAATTAACCTCATCCACCACCCGCTAAAAAAAAAAGGATTTAAATATTTATAATCATGATTATAATTAAATATAATAAAATTAGTTAAAAAAAATAATACAAACTTTAATTATTTAAATATGTCCTAAGTTTTAATATTAAAACATCAACATACTTCTCCTTCCTGGTCTATAACTACACGAGCCTCCACTTGATCCTGTTAAAGGATTGTAATCTAAAGAGATGCAATCTAAAATTAAACTTTTTTTTAGATATTAAAATTGTAAGATTAGATTTAAATTATTTTTTTAATAATATTAACCTGGTTTTCTTAATTTTTCTTTATTTTTAGGTTTAATGTTTTCATGCTTTTCAACATTTTCATCCTGTAACAACAAAAATAATACCATCCAATAACATAATAAGCATAAATAACAATGGTCTCTTAATAAAATTAGAAAAGCCCACCATAACCAAAATATAAAAAACCTATATAAAATTAAAATACAGGTCATTCATCCAGAGTGTCTGCATATGCAGGTTGGAAAAATGAGTCTCTTCAAAGAAGATTAATGTGGATTTAAAGATAAAAGGATTCTAGTGAGATTGCCAGCACCATATATCATTAATTTTAAAATTGCATATAGTTTATACATGACAATGGTTTATATATTATTCTATTCAATAATATTAGTAAATGCCATGTTTTTACTGTTTGAAGACTTATTTTAGCCTATTCAACAATATTAATATATGCCTTGTATTTACTGTTTGAAGACGTTTTAACTTGATCAACATTATTGGTATATGTCATGCTTTTACTATTTAAAGAGTTATTTTAGCATATTTTACACTGAAAATAAAACAATGCCAACAAGCTTATTTATAATACTATGTCATTTGTACAGTTTTGATTGACCGTCTGTTTGATTGCCCGACAATCAAAAATTTTACTCCCTCAATACTTGTTTCAAGATTAAAACTTTATAAAAGAAAGAAACTCATAATTTAGACGATATATTAACTCATCTTTTTTAAAAATGTTGTAAAAATATTGTAACAATATTTTATGTAAAACTCATGAAGAACTTTTTGTCTTGTCTTCCTCAAAATAAAAATTTAATACAAATTTTTTAATCAGAATAATAAATAAATGAAACTAGATCATTGGTTCAAATAAATAAAGAAAAATAGATCATTAGTTCAAATAAAAATACGAGAAAAAACATTTTATAAATTAAAAATAAGGATGGACAAAAATAATTATCTATCTATTTATCTAAAAATCACAAAGTTTCAACTAGCAGCATAAAAGATTTATTTTAGTGTACCCTATGCTATGTAATATAGTATTTACCCTATGCTATGTAATCTTATATAGTATGCTATATATATTATTATGCTATTTTGACATTTTGTGATAAATTTTTATAAAAAACAAGTTCACTTAACTTAAAAAAAAATGCTAATAAAAATTAATATAACCTTGGCTTTATATTTTGAATAATATCCTTTCCCTTCTTGATGGGCTTCCCATTCTTCAATTCTTTTCTTTCGTTTCTCTTCTTCTTTCTAAAGCAATTGGTTCTGGATTATTATTAATAGCATTCTTTTTAAATGAATATTCTGCACAAACCATACCTGTTCTTGCTCAGCTTTCTTTTTGATACTATCTGCCCTAACTTTTTCTTGTAATTTTGTGCGTGCTTGTTCAACTAAAACTTGCATTTCATATGTTTTATCAGGATCTAAAAAAATGATCTTTGTTTAAGAGTTTATCTTTGTTATTAATATATTCCTAATTTTTTTTTCAACATAAAAGCATTTCATACATTTAATAAACCATATCCAGATTAATAATGATGATAAAATTAAAAATGATGATGTAAAAAAAAGTGAGAGTTTATTTTGTCTAAAAAAAAATCAGACTTTTTTTTCTCATTATCTAAACAAGCATTAATTGTTGTGTATAAATATATTTATAATAATACAAAAAAATTAACAAATTAAAATTCTAAAATAATAAAAATAAAACTTAACTAAAATTAAGTCAAAAATTTTTTCCAATGGTTTTATATTAAACTCTTATTAAATAAAGTAACAAGTTTTTGATCAATGTTTTATCAAAATGTTTATTTCAAATCAGGGCCGACGATACCGGGAAAGGAGGGGGGGGGCATTACTTTAATGATTGTTTATAATAAAGAGTATGTAAATTATCAAAGAGTATTAGCAATTATAATTCAGGCCTTATAGGCCTGAATTATAATTGCTGAATATATAAATAGGCCTTACAGGCCTTATTATATATTCAGCAATTATAATTCAGGCATTACTTAGCAATTATAAATCAGGCCTGTAGCAACGGGGAAGGAGGGGAGGGGGAAAGGGAGCAGGGGCATCTGCCTCCCCCCCCCTCAATAATTTTTCAAATAAATAAAATCACGGAGCTACTTAATCCAGAATTCCCCCCCCCCAATATAATTTTTGCTCCTACGGGTCTGTAATTAGAGATTAGATCTTCAAAACTTTGACCCTTTCTGAATATATATTTTTTTAAATTTGCTCTTTAGTTTGATTCAGCTTAGTTCTTTCAGAACTTTTTCTTGTGTTACTCGTTATTTAATAAAATCTCATCTTTATACTGTGACTGTTCCTTAGTATTCTAAAAATTCTTATTATTGTAGTTTTTTTTCCTCCAACATCAGTTCTTTGAAATTAGCTTCTTTATCTTGTTTTCCTGATACATATAATTTGCAACCTTTTAAGTTATCTGTCAATCGTTATCTTGCTCTATAAACTCTATCTTTTCTCTTCCAGCAACTTCCAACTATAATAGTGGTTGATTACAGCCTTATTTATATATCAGCATTTGCATGATCAGATTGTAAAATATGGTCAATGTCTAAACCATTTTTTACCTGTAATAATATTAGTTCTTTAAAATCAGAAAATGGACGATTCATTTTTGCAATGTGATATACAGTACAAAATATGCTGTAGGTAGTTGATTAGTAGGTAGTAGGTAGTTGAGTAGGTAGTGTTGATTGATCTACATTTTTAAACTAAACATCTCTATAGTGTGTTTTTTGGACTGGAAAATAATTTTACAAGCTTTTATGTGTACCACTGATAGCTTGTGACTTAAAAGCTTTTTCCTCAATGATTGTTGTTTTTCTTCTTCTTTTGTTTCACCATATTTTCTGATGTTGCCAAGCATCCTTTGCTAGTTAATTTTATTCCTTGAAATTTTTTGGCATAATATGCATTAAAATAGGTAATGGTATGGTTTTCAATTTTAAAAAAATTAACAGGACAGCATCCTATCTCACTAACTATATATATGTGTGTATATATATATATATTATATATATATATATATATATATATATATATATATATATATATATATATATATATATATATATATATATATTTTATATAGATATATATAAAATAATATATACATATATATATATATATGTATATATATATATATATATATATATATATATATATATATATATATATATATATATATATACATATATATATATATATATATATATATATATATATATATATATATATATATATACATATATATATATATATATAAAATATATATACATATATATATATATATATATATATATATATATATATATATATATATATATATATATATATATATATATATATATATATATATATATATATATATATATATAGAAAAATGAGGTCAGCAATAAATTGCCGACCTCAAACTGTTAGAGGTTGGCAAAAAAAAATTGACACAAAGAGGTTACCATAAAATATAGAAATGAGGTCGGCAATTTTTTGCTGACCTTAAACACTTTCAAGTCGGCAGTTAGGTCGACATTCGGCAAAAAATTTATTAAATTCTAAACAATATATATAAATATTAGACATAGAGGCCTTTACTAGTTGTATCAGTAATGTAGTACTGATAAAACTATGAAAGGCTATATATAACTAATAATATAATTAAATTATAAAAAACAACAACAAAGGTTTACTTTTTTTCCTCTCCTCATCTTCTTTGAGATTCTTTTGTTTTTGCTTCCATTGACAAAACTTTGAAGCATATTTTTCATATAAAAAATAAAATACAATTATCCCAAATAAAACAAACCAACCATATGATTCCAAATAAGAAATACCTGAAAATAAAATAAGAAATTTTGAAATTAATTCAAAATAGAAATTTACTTAACATGACAAACTAAATTTGATTGCGAAAAAAAATATTAAAGATTTAAGATTTTTAACTTGTGTGTGAGTGTGTGTGTGTTCAATTCAAAACATGTTTTTTTTTTTTATTATATTGTGTTCTGTTAAATATTATAAATTTAAATAATAATAGTTTTATTACTTAATTACACATAATGTACATTATGACAATATTTTATTGAGTATATTAGAAAAAGCATCCTGATGGGGGGAGGGGGCTTACGGGGGATGTTGTTAAGTATATTATAGTAATATCTGTTGCATTATTAAATTAATAAATATGAGAATTTATAAATGGTTAATTAAATTTTGTTACATGTTAAAAGTTTAAAAAATTCAAAGTAAAATTTTTAATCTTAAATGACCTGTAACTTATTCTCCCGCCTCAATAGTTGTAATAAAAATTTTTCATTTATTAGTTACAATGGAACTACAAATTTATTTTTTTATATATGGTTGTAAGAGACATTGAAATTTAAAAGTACTCAGTGGATATCTGATTTTTAACAATAACACGTTAAGCTCTGTATGATTCAAAAAAAAGTTTTATAAAAACTTCTATTAGGTTTATATGTTTCATATGAATTGTAATGTGGTAATTCTGTTCTCTAATCTAATATGAATTGTAACGTGGTTATTCTGTTCTACAATCTAATATGAATTGTAATGTGGTAATTCTGTTCTACAATCTAATATGAATTGTAATGTGGTAATTCTGTTCTACAATCTAATATGAATTGTAATGTGGTAATTCTGTTCTCTAATCTAATATGAATTGTAACGTGGTAATTCTTTTCTACTATCTAATATGAATTGTAATGTTGTAATTCTGTTCTACAATCTAATATGAATTGTAATGTGGTAATTCTGTTCTACAATCTAATATGAATTGTAATGTGGTAATTCTGTTCTCTAATCTAATATGAATTGTAACGTGGTAATTCTGCTCTACTATCTAATATGAATTGTAATGTGGTAATTCTGTTCTACAATCTAATATGAATTGTAATGTGGTAATTCTGTTCTGCAATCTAATATGAATTGTAATGTGGTAATTCTGTTCTGCAATCTAATATGAATTGTAATGTGGTAATTCTGTTCTACAATCTAATATGAATTGTAATGTGGTAATTCTGTTCTACAATCTAATATGAATTGTAGTGTGGTAATTATGTTCTACAATCTAAGATTCTAGAAAGAACTAAGAAGCAAAATTTAAAAGTAAGAAAAAAAAAATATTTAAAATGCACACACAACTCGTAAACACAAAGATTACAAATGTCAAAATCAGTTAATAAAAAAAGTGTATATTTTCTTACAGTTTCAAAAAAATCTTATCTTAATAGGGTACTGTTGCGGTTCTAAAAATAGATTTCATAAACCTTTCACAAAGCTTTCTAGGATTGAAATGCAGACAAACAATACAAAATGCAAGAAGACATAATTCTAACAAAAACATAAAAGTACAATAAAACAATGTTATTAGGATTCTCATCAGGTTCTTGCTAACTTAAATGTTTACTAGTTGATGTAATTTAAAAAAATAGGAATTATTCTAATCAGATTCTTGCTAACTTAAATGTTTACTAGCTGATGTAATTTAAAAAAAATAGGAATCACTAAAGATTCTATGACAAACTTGGAAAAAAGGATAAAAGAAAAATAAAGATTTTGAAATTATATATTTAAACTATAAGTTTCTATCTTGTAGATTTTCTTCTCAAAAAGAATGAAAATAATATTAACATAGATGCAAGTAATATGTATAATCATTATAACAAAGATACTTATAAACTCTTTATTAGTTCTGATATAAATACAGAATGCAGCATTGTTGATTTTAATACTGGAAATATGCATGATTTTACTGTTGATTTTCTGTATCATTTAGTTCTTCATTATATGAACATAAAAAGTGTGATTTTATCAATTTAATAAATCTCAGATTTCTACTTTTATGACTTTCTTGGACCAGCAAATTATCAACTTTCATATTTCAGCTCAAGGAGTGAACTAAGTCTTAATAGTTGTCTTTAAAAAAGCATAAGCATGTATCAAATTTTATATCAGTGTAGCACTAGTGATGTAGTTTTATTTCAGAAGTGCGGAATTATGGAGTTTATTTATTTTTAAGATTGTTTTCTTGTCTGTAAAAGAAATTATAATTCAAATTATAATTATTATTTTTAACTATTTTTATTTTAACACTATTTTTAAGTGTGTGAAAAGTTTACAAAAGAAAAGGCCGTGCAATCAAAAAGTATTGTAAAAAGCATGAGTTAACTTTGAATGATTTAATAAACATATTTATTTAGATTCAAATTAAAATAAATAATTCAATCAAAAGTTTGGATTATTTAATGGAGTAATGCTTTATTTATTGGAACTAGCATCTTAATTAGTTTATGTTACAAGCATTGTTAAAAAGTTTACCAACTTTGAAGTAATTAGTAAACTTTTAACAATGGCTTGTGTGCTTAAATATCTTTGTAAAATTTAAATTTTGTTTTAACAAATTTAACTTTTTACTTATTTTGTTAGCTTTGTTGCTTATTTCAACTTTATCACTTTTTTTTCTATGTGTATTTAAAGATTTCTAATACAAAAAAAATACATTTTAAATAAACTTTAAAAGATTAAAAACTAATTTAAATAAATTTTTCAGAGTTGAAACTTTAGCTTTCATGAAAAATATAGATTAAAACTTATATAAAATATAATATAAAAACATTTTCGTAAATATTTACTTTTTTTATTTGGTCGCAACTTTTTAAAAAGAAATTTATATAGTTATTAACTAAATATATTTTTAATATATATTTTAAAAAAATATCATTTTAACATTCAATCTTTAGAATGCAGGTTAATATTTTTCTAACCTTTTCAAATTCTTTTTGTTTAAGCATTTACTATCAGGTGCTTAATCAAAGGAGAGGCAAATAGTTAACTTTTGGAAAATACACCCACCCTGAGGGTATTAAGATTCATTAAATTCATTTGTTTATTAAATTTCATTTATTGCCAAAGAAAACCATCTACTGGTAAAAATAAAGACTTGGAGTAATCAGGCTTTAAAATGTCAAATTTAAACTAACTAATCAAAATGAAAACTTACATTATATTTAGCGCTTTTTAAAATTAACTAACACTAAATAAGAATTCAAAAAGTTATAGAGAGTTTGTATTAAAAACTGAATCACTTGTATTGTTGTTATAGAGAGTTTGTATTAAAAACTGAATCACTTGTATTGTTGTTATAGAGAGTTTGTATTAAAAACTGAATCACTTGTATTGTTGTTATAGAGAGTTTGTATTAAAAACTGAATCACTTGTATTGTTGTTATAGAGAGTTTGTATTAAAAACTGAATCACTTGTATTGTTGTTATAGAGAGTTTGTATTAAAAACTGAATCACTTGTATTGTTGTTATAAAGAGTTTGTATTAAAAACTGAATCACTTGTATTGTTGTTATAGAGAGTTTGTATTAAAAACTGAATCACTTGTATTGTTGTTATAGAGAGTTTGTATTAAAAACTGAATCACTTGTATTGTTGTTATAGAGAGTTTGTATTAAAAACTGAATCACTTGTATTGTTGTTATTTTTGAGCTTTTTGTTCACATTTTGATTCCAGAATCTTTTGTTTTAATTTATTAATAAATGCCTGACAAAAGCAAAACCGTACTCTATTCAATTGAATAGTTAAACGACTGTTTTACAATTAGTGGTTGATTACACAGGTAAACAGCAAAAAAAAAAATTTCTGGTAGAAGTAGAATTGTTGAAATCCTAAGAACTGAAGTGAAATTAATTTTAAGAGAACTGAAATCGGAATTATTTTATAAGTAAAATTAGAATTAGAAATTAAATCAACACCACAAGAACTGAATAGAAACTGAAATAGAAATTATATTTTTAACTTAAATATCACTACTGTTTCTATAAGAAATTTTATATTATTAATATATACCATTAGATTGATGATGCTGATGATTTTAATGAAGCTTTTTTTTGTATTTTTGCTTTTGTTTAAAAAAAAGCATCTGTCATTTTAGTTGAGTAAATTATTTTTTCTATTAACATTACTGCTGTAATTCATCAACTAATACATCATTATTTAATGTTCTGTATATAAAAACAAGCTTTGCTGCTTTTTCTACTACCTTGTTTCTTAACTTGGAATGAACAAACCCTAAAGTTAAAAAAATTCTTTTAACTCCAGCACTAGTAGCTGATATGTTTAACATAACTTCAATATCCATGATGCAGTTCAAAGATTTTTAAGATTCCTACCATTTTTTTAAAAAAATCAACTATACAAATAGCTTTTATCAAATGGAGCAGATTTGGCTTTCAACTTGAATAACAAGTTCTTAAATTCTTTACCTACAAAGATCATTGCAGCTTCATTTTCATTTTCAGAAATACTTGATCCAAAACATCTGGAATCTTGTGTGACAGTCTGAAAGTTAGTAGTTTCCAAAAAAAAAAACTTTTTGTTGTTGATAAAAATGATAATATACTTATCAGCTCTTTAAAAATTTCAACAGTGTCACTTATTTTCTAAAAATCTTTTTGCAACTTATCTAGAGCAATGCCAATTGGTTTTAATATTTTCAATCAAATATTCTGCATTTTGCTTTATTTGTATGTAATTTACTATTCTACCGATCGTGGGATCCAAGTCTCTATTTTTTTTCAAACATTGTGAAAATGATGCTCCAGTTATTGACATATTTTTCAAGTGAATCACATACAAAATTCCAGTGTGTTTCAATAAGAAATGGTAATTTTGTTCCTCCACTTTCTCTACAATATGCTCCAGCTTAATGATTATTTTGTATAAATAATCATTAAGCTGGAGGATTATGATTATTTATACAAATTATAATATTCTCCAGCTTAATGATTATTTTGTATAAATAATCAT